CTGTCACTGTCTGGGTGCTGTCACTGTCTGGGCGCTGTCACTGTCTGGGTGCTGTCACTGTCTGGGTGCTGTCACCGTCTGGGTGCTGCCGCTGTCTGGGCGCTGTCACTGTCTGGGCGCTGCCGCTGTCTGGGCGCTGTCACCGTCTGGGCGCTGTCACTGTCTGGGAGTGCTGTCACTGTCTGGGTAGCTGTCACTGTCTGGGTAGCTGTCACTGTCTGGGTAGCTGTCACTGTCTGGGTGCTGTCACTGTCTGGGTAGCTGTCACCGTCTGGGCGGCTGTCACCGTCTGGGCGCTGTCACCGTCTGGGTAGCTGTCACCGTCTGGGCGCTGTCACTGTCTGGGAGTGCTGTCACTGTCTGGGCGCTGTCACTGTCTGGGAGTGCTGTCACCGTCTGGGCGCTGTCACCGTCTGGGCGCTGTCACTGTCTGGGTGGCTGTCACCGTCTGGGTGGCTGTCACCGTCTGGGCGGCTGTCACCGTCTGGGCGGCTGTCACCGTCTGGGCGCTGTCGCTGTCACTGGGCGGCTGTCACCGTCTGGGCGCTGTCACCGTCTGGGCGGCTGTCACCGTCTGGGCGGCTGTCACCGTCTGGGCGGCTGTCACCGTCTGGGCGCTGTCACCGTCTGGGCGGCTGTCACCGTCTGGGCGGCTGTCACCCTCTGGGCGCTGTCACCGTCTGGGCAGCTGTCACCGTCTGGGCGCTGTCACCGTCTGGGCGCTGTCACCGTCTGGGAGGCTGTCACCGTCTGGGTAGCTGTCACCGTCTGGGTAGCTGTCACCGTCTGGGCGGCTGTCACCGTCTGGGCGCTGTCACCGTCTGGGCGGCTGTCACCGTCTGGGCGCTGTCACCGTCTGGGCGCTGTCACCGTCTGGGCGGCTGTCACCGTCTGGGCGGCTGTCACCGTCTGGGCGGCTGTCACCGTCTGGGCGCTGTCACCATCTGGGAGGCTGTCACCATCTTGGTGCTGGGCTGCAAGCGGCACAAACTCAGGGCAGAGTCTCACGGTGACAGGACGGGCATTGGCAGCTCCCGTGACGATGCTCTCAGGACCGGGCTCTCTCTGGTTTCCGTGGCTGTCCCCCAGGTCCCTGCCTCCCCGGCCGTGCAAGGTGACTCTGTGCTCCCAGGGCTGAGTCCTGCGGCAGGGACGGGACCTGCTCCCAGCCGCGGTCACCCTGAGGACGCCCTTGTGGGCTCCCAGGCCCCCTGCAGCTGCGAGGCTCCGTCTGCCCCTGCAGCCCCAGGGTGGGCCCAGCCCGCCGCCCCCAAAGCGCAGGGTCTCGGAGTGATGGAGCTGCCGCCCGCCCGCAGGGAAACGGGATCCTGTCCCCAGAGACAGGACATAGGCGCAGCCGGCAAAATCCCCGGAGAGCCTCTCCGCAAAGGGGGTGCGCTGGCACACGGTGTCCCGGGCGTGGCCGGCGCGGCCTGCTGCTGCCCTGCTGACGTCGAGTGAGCCCTGAGGCCCCGAGGGAGAGGCCGCCGCTCACCTCCTCTCTGCCCTCCGCGCAGCGCTGCCCAAGTTCGAGCTTCTGATCCAGCCGCCGCCGTACATCCGAGACCTGGACGCCTGCGAGACGGGCACCGTGCGGGCCAGGTGACACTCGGCCGCGCCTGCCTCCGCCCACGGTTGCCCTGGCGCCGAGCACGTCCCACGCCAGCCACCCCCTGTGTCCTTCCCGCGCTGGCATCGCCACCCCTGTGGGTGGGCCCCTCCCCCCCACCAGCCCTCCCCCACACACACCGGCCCCTACCTCCTGCACAGGTGCGTCCCGCCGCTGTGGGCAAGCTGGCCTCCCTGTCTGACCACTGGGGACAAGTGGAGCATGTCACATGCTCCCCCACGGGCGGACCCCTCCCCTGCCTTGGGCAGTGCTCGGCTCCTTTCCTCCCCCCCCCTCGTGCCCCTCCCCATCCACATGCCCCCATGCTCCTCCCCCGCTGCCCCATCTGGGGTCTCTGGGCTGTGACATTGAGCGGCCATTACCCTTCCATCTAGGTACACCTTCGGGAAGCCCGTGTCGGGGGCCTTGGCCATCAACATGACCGTGCACGGCGTGGGGTACTACAGCCACGAGGTGGGGCACCCCGTGCTCAGACACACCACGGTGAGCAGTGAGACCTCCCGCCCTGGCCCCAGGGGTCCCCAGATTCGTTTCACTTTCTAGAACAGTTATGTGTGTGTGGGGGGCTCTTTCTGAGGGTAAAATTCCTGCGGGCTGAACATAGAAACTCTAGACGATACATAAAGGAAAAAAATAAAGATGACTCGCTCTCTAACAGGCAGACGCAACCACCACTGATGTTTCGGGGTGTTTCCTCCCAGGTTTTGATATGTTAAATTAAAAAAAAATAATAATGAATGAATCTCCTATAGTCCCAGCTCCTCGGGAGGCTGAGGCAGGAGGATCGTTTGGGCCCAGGAGTTGGAGGCCAGCCTGGGCAATGTAGAGCCCCCATCTCTGAAAATATTTAAAAAATAGTAATTTTATTGAGATACAATGCGCGTGCCACGCCGTTCACCCACAGAGAGTGCACAAGCAAGGAATAGTTTCCATATAGTCACAGTCTTTCCCTTTGAGGAGCCACCAGACTGTCACTGCACTAGTGTGCATTCCAGCCTGTGCCAAGTTTTGGAGCCTGCTTTTGGTGCTCAGGCTGGCAATGTGGCAGGTCCCCCCTTCCTGGAGATTCTTTGTCTCTGCAGGTGCCTGCCACATTAACCCTTTCGGCCCTGGTTCCTCCCCAGTCCCCAAACTTTCTTTCCCTTCTCTTTCCCGCCCAGGACACATCTTCTCCAAGGAGTGGACACCCTGGGCCCCCACCCACTCCGTGCCTGCCGCTGGCACCCGGGGTATCCCAGCCGTTCCCCTGGGCGCCCACAGATGGTGGCCTTTGTCTCGTTCTCCCATTTGTCGAGTCATTCATTGCATAGTTGTTTCTGGACGTGGACTAGTTGCCGGCCCGGGGAGGGGTGCTGCGAGAGGGGCCGGGCAGGGGCGTTCTGTGCCCTGGGGCGAGGCCGGCCTGGTTCACATGTGACCCCCGCTGCCTGGGCTGAGGGGCTTGTGCCAGCACCGTGGGGACCCCTTTCCCCTTCTGCCCAGTGACACCGACACCCGTCTTCCCCGGGACGCTGTGCGGATCCAGCCAGGGACCCTCTGCAGCACAGTCCCCATGCAGGGAGCCGTGCATGTCCCTTGGCGTCCCCCGGCCCTCCACGAGGCTGGGGAGTCCTGCACCCCAATGTGCGGTTGGGGGACAGCCCCCCCGAGGCTGCCCCAACCCCACGTGAGCACGGCCCGCGTTTTTCCCCCTCCAGATCCTTGGCTCCCAGGACTTCGACATCTGCGTGAGGGACATGATCCCGGCGGACGTCCCCGAGCACTTCCGGGGCAGGCTCAGCATCTGGGCGACGGTGACCAGCGTGGACGGTAGCCGGCAGGCTGCGTTCGACGACTCCACCCCCGTCCAGAGGCAGCTGGTGGACGTCCGCTACTCCCGGGACACCAGGAAGCAGTTCAAGCCGGGCCTGGCCTTCGCGGGGAAGGTGAGTTCAGGGTGACCGAGCCACGGGGTGACCCCCCCCCCCACCCTCGGCTCCTCGACGGCTCCATGGTGACTCGGCCCTGGCTCAGCTGAAAACGGTCTCCTGGTTGCCCTCGTGGGGCGCGGAGGCTGCCGCGTGGGGCGTGGCGGGAGCCGCCCCCCAGCCAGGGGCCCGGCACATTCCTCCACCCGAAAGGGCCACCTGCTCTATTCCTTGCAGGCCTTCCTGTGCCTGCAGCGGCCATCCCAGACGCGGGGTGGCCATTTATGACACCAGCTCCTCTACAGCAGTGCCGCTTCGTTTTTTATTTGTTTATTTATTTTTTAGAGACGGGGTCTCGCCGTGTTGCCCCGGCAGGTTTCGAACTCTTGGCCCCAAGCAATCCTCCCACCTCAGCCTCCCGAGTTGCTGGGACTACAGGCGTGATCCTCCGTGCCTGGTCTAGTTTCTTAATTGAGTTGACGTTATGCCCTGAGGACCTAACATCAGAGTCTCCCAAAAGGCAGATCCCCTGTCTGACTGATTCAGGCCCCCTGGTTGGGGGGAAGCGGCATTTTGAAGGAGCCCCCGCCTGCCACCCGCCACGTGATTCTTAGGCACAGTAAATGTTGAGGTGACCAGAAATCGTGATCCTTACTGCAGTTCTTAAACGGGGCGTCCTCATGCCACTTGCAGCTGGGAGGAGGATGGAGTGAGGCCAGCAGAGCCCACTGTCACCCAAGGGAAAGCGGGCCATGTCCCTAGAACCCCGCCTCACCCAGGCTGGAGCACAGTGGCCCAGTCATAGCTCACTGCAGCCTCGAACTCCTGTGCTCAAGCGATCCTCCTTCCTCAGCCTCCTGACTAACTAGGCCTAGCTCATGCCTGTAATCCTAGCACTCTGGGAGGCCGAGGCAGGAGGATTGCTCAAGCAGTAGCTAGCAGCAGTGTGGAGAAAATCATTATTTTAAGTGTTATTTCACCATTATTTCACCATCCTCAAGGACACCGGCCATTTCACCTGCATTTTTAGAGGCGTGGTTTCATGAGCTCACAGCCTCAGGTGATTCTCCAAGAGATTTCTATGCAGAGGCCTAGTTAAGGGGATTTTTCCCAGAAGTCGGTCAGGAGTTCGAAACCAGCCTGAGCAAGAGCGAGACCCCATCTCTACTAAAAATAGAAAGAAATTCATTGGCCAACTAAAAATATATAGAAAAAAAGATTAGTTGGGCATGGTGGTGCATGCCTGTAGTCCCAGCTACTCAGGAGGCTGAGGCAGAAGGATCGCTTGAGCCCAGAAGTCTGAGGTTGCTGTGAGCTAGGCTGACTCCATGGCACTCTAGCCCAGGCAACAGAGTGAGACTCTGTCTCAAAAAAAAAAAAAAAAAAAAAAAAAAGATGGGGTCTTGCTATGTTGTCCAGGTGGATCTTGAACTCCTGACCTCAAGCAATCCTCCTTCCTCGGCTTCCCAAAGCACTGGGGTTACAGGTGTGAGCCACCATGCCTGGTCCTATTTATTGAAAAGATGGCTTTTTACCCCAGTGAATGGTCCTGGCACCCTTGTCAAGGCCTCTTGTCAATTGACTGGAGAGGTACAGTTTATTTTTGGACTCTCAGTTCTGCGTTGATCTCCACGTCTGTCCTTTTGCCTGCATCTTGCTTACCGTAGCTTTGCAGTAAGTTTTGAAGTTGGGTCCTTCTTCTTTGTTCCTTTTCGGCGTTGCTGTGGCTATTCAGGGCCCCTGTGAATTTAAGGGCCATTTTGTCCATTTCTGCAAAGAAGCCAGCTGGGATTTCAGAAGCCAGCGAGGACATCCATTCTGCAGACCAGTTTGGGGCGTGTTGCCGCCGTAACCGTCAAAGGGATCTTTGATGACCCCTTCCAGGTGGAGCTGTCCTACCCCGACGGCAGCCCTGCCGAGGGGGTGACGGTCCAGATCAAGGCGGAGCTGACGCCGAAGGACAACATCTACACCAGTGAAGCTGTGTCCCAGGGCGGCCTGGTGGGCTTTGAGATTCCGTCCATCCCCACGTCAGCCCAGCACGTGTGGCTGGAGGTGGGTGAGTTCCCTAGACCCTCGTCACTCACCCAGCAGGCAGGGGTGTGGCTTCTCCCAGGCTGGGGCTCCCAGGCTGATGGAGACACCAGACGGGGGAGGGGGAGGGGTGGATGACCCAGCCGTCCCAGGGAGGGGGCTGGGGAGAGGTGAGGGCGTCTGGCCCGGTCATGCCAGAGGAGGCCTCCCACAGGGGTCTCTCTTGTAGGAGGGTGGAACAGCATGCCTGGAGGCTCAGAGGCGCCTGTGATCATCCTGTAATCCGGTCCTGCAAATGCTCCGCTGTGCCAAGCCACTTTAGAGAGAGACTGGGGAGGGAGCTCATGGGGTGCTCGAGGTTTCCCTAGAAAGTAGCATCAGGGGAACAGAGGGATCTGATTGGGTTTTTAAATTTAAAAAAAAATTTTTTAGAGACAGGGTCGGTCTTGCTCTGTCGCCCAGGCTGGAGTGCCGTGTCGTCATCATAGCTCACTGCAGCCTCCAACTCCTGGGCTCAAGCGATCATCCCGCCTCAGCCTCCCAAGTAGCCGGGACAACAGGTGCAAGCCATCACACCTGGCTAATTTTCTTTTCCATTTTTAAGGGTAGGGGTCTTGCTACGTTGCCCAGGCTAGTCTCAAATTCTTGGCTTCAAGTGATCCTCCCTCCCTGGCTTCCCAAAGTGCTGGGATTACAGGCATAAGTCGCCACACCCAGCCCAGAGGCATCTGATTTTTGATAGCCAGTGGTCACTCCAGAGCCTGCAGTGGGGGCCGTGGTTTCAGGGGCACAGGAGGCAGGACAGAGAGGCCACCAAGCTGGAGCTGTTGAGGAAGTAGAATCTGCAGGACTTGGTGTCCCATTAGCACGGGAGGGACGAACAGGAGTGACAGCAGATGGAGAGGCTTAGGGACTGGGTGGGGGACACGGCAGCCCCATGAAGACTGGGGTGTCAGGGATAGGAGAGCAGCTGAGGGTAAATGTGCACACGGGAACCAAGGACGCTCGTGGTTACTTTGTGACATTCACGGCAAGATGCCCCCATGATCCCCTGTGTTTGCACAGCTGCCCAACACGGAGCACAGTCGTGTGGTCACCTGGGCCACTGTCCTGTATCGAGAGAGTGACCGTAGCCTGCCACCTCTCAAACCCCTGGAGGGGCCAGAGACGACCTGCCCAGTTGGGAGATTGCAGTGACTTCTGCCACCCGCTACCAGAACTGGGCCACACTTCCCGGGTGACAGGCACAACCCTCAATCCATGCACCGGCCCAGGGGTCCCCAGGCCACCTGTACTCTGACCCACTGGCCACAAATTTGGGGCTTCCCACGACCCCACCACCTTTCAATTACAGTTCTAGCACAGCAAAAATGGTACAGGTTAGGACCAACCAAGGAGGCAGACTTGTGTGGCGAGGTCTGGGAGGGTCCCAGATCTGCAGCTTTGCAAGGGAAGCTCCCACGAGCTTCCGTGTCCAGGGTTTTTCTGGGCGGCTCATGACACCTGCATGATGGGTTAAATCACCAGACAGAGGACCGAACTCAATCTCCAGGCTTCTCCCTTCCCCTGGAGCTCAGGCTGGGGTCACAGGGCTCAAAGCCACAACCCTGTGATCACATGGGTGGTCGTTACGGTGTGGCCGGCCCCCACTCTGAGTCGTGTCCTTGGCCTGTGTTATCGGGATCCAAGGACGGTACTCCCATCGCTCCGGGAATCACAGGGGTTTAGAGGTGGCCTACCTCCCAGGAACCAGGGGCAAAGGACGTCTTTGTTACGTGGAGGCCTAAAGTCCCCGTGGCCCCTCCATTGCATAAGCCATATTTTTTCCGCAGCAGGTGCAGGAGATCCGCTCAAATGCCCCAGGGAGGTGGAATCACACGACCGCCCAGGGCCTGGGGCTTGCAGGGCAGGGCTGTGAGCTCTGCGTGGGCTGGGGCCCGACCCCCGGGGCTGCTGGCCAACACGGCTGCTCCTTTTCCTCTGCGTGTATTTCCCGGAGGAGGGCAGTGGACGGGGTTATCCCCTCCAAGAAGCCACCAGGGCCACTGGCTAGCCGGAGGGGGAGGAAAGAGGCTTTCCCGCTAGCTGTGTCCCTGGTGGAGCCGCCGGCTCCGCCTGAGCCGACCCCAAGCCGCCTCGGCTGGTCTGCCACGCCGGCTTCTTGGGCGCGGGAGGCGCAGGCGCCGGCCACACTGGATCCCGGCCCCTGAAGATCGGGGAGGGGGTTCCCTAAAGGGAAATTGAAGTGTGAGAGGGTCTTGCTGCAGGGCGGAGCAGGCAGAAGTGCCCCCCAGCCCCCCTCCGACGCCCGGCACCCAGGCCTTGACCAAGCGTCCTCTGCATCTTCAGACCAAGGTGACGGCGATTGACGGGAAGCCGGCGGGCAGCCAGTACCTGCCCAGCTACCTGGCCCTCGGCAGCTGGTACTCCCCCAGCCAGTGCTACCTGCAGCTGCAGCCGCCCTCCCGCGCCCTGCAGGTAAGACGTTCACGTCCCGCCCCTCCCTGGGCCGGACAGCGCCCAGGGGTGCACGGGTGTGAGCTTCCAGGGGACATAACGCTGCGGCTGACGCAGGGCCCCTCGTCCCTTTAGCAAGGAAGGCGCTCCGGGGAACGAATGCGCTGCCATTTATGTGCGATGGACACTCAGGCTGCGGCCCGGGACTTCCTGGGACAGACACCACAGCGGGTGCGGTGTCCCTAAGCCGGAGAGGAGCCGCTGCTGTTGGGCCAGCGCCTCCCCATCCCGAGCCTCCCTCTCTTGTGCAGAGGCCCGGGGCGTCTCCAGCCAGACACGCTGGTCGTAAAGAGGAACTTGGGGCCGGGCACGGTGTCTCACGCCTGTCATCCCAGCACTCTGGGAAGCCGAGGCGGGCGGATTGCTCGAGGTCAGGAGTTTGAAACCAGCCTGAGCGAGAGCGAGACCCCGTCTCTACTATAAATAGAAAGAAATTAATTGGCCAACTAAAAATACATATACCAAAAACTAGCCGGGCGTGGTGGCGCATGCCTGTAGTCCCAGCTACTCGGGAGGCTGAGGCAGGAGGATCGCTTGAGCCCAGGAGTTTGAGGTTGCTGTGAGCGAGGCTGACGCCACGGCACTCACTCTAGCCTGAGCAACAAAGTGAGAAAAAAAAAAAAAAAAGACGAACTTGGAGAGGCGTCTCCCATAAGTCTTTCCTGGGCTGTTATTATGCAGTCTTGATTATGTGTATAAGATTGTGTGTGTATGTATATATATATTCTTTTAATTAATAGACTTAATTTTTAAAGAGCAGCTTTAGGTGGACAGAGACATGGAACAAAACATGCAGAGAGCTCCCATATACCCCCTGCTGCTCCCCTCTGCATGTTGCATTGGTATGATACATTTGTTGCGATTGATGAATGGATATTGATTAAATAGGCATTTAAGGTTTTCCCGCATCTTTTCATGGCTTGAGAACTCATTTTTTCTTATTGCTGAATAATATTCCCTTGCATGGATGTTCCACAGTTTGTCCACTCACCTATTGAGAGAGGTGTGTGTGTGTACATGTATGTATATGTACATGTGTGCACATGTGCGTGTATATACACATCTGTAGGCATATGTTTATATGTGTGTACACTTATATGTGTCTGTGTGTATTTTTACAAGCACACACACAAATGCTCCACTCACCTAGAGGGAGATATATATATACATATTTTTTATATGTACAGCCCACTGCCCCTCAATTAACGAGTGGATAAACATGTAGATGTGTTTAGTTGACCCTGAACAGCGCTGGGGTTAGGGGCGCCGGCCCCTGCACAATCAAAACTCCAGCCGTGACTTGGACTCCCTAGAAACTTAACTCCCAATAGCCTGCTGCTGACAGAGGCCGCACCGATACCATGAGCGGCCAAGTAGACATACTAACATGTTATATGTTACGTGTGCTGTGTGCTTACAATACAGTGAGCTAGAGAGGAAAGAAACTGCTATTAAGAAAACCATAAGGAAGAGAAAATACGTGCACTGTTCCTTAAGTGGAGGTGGGTCATGTTAAAGGTCTTTATCCTTGTCATCTTCATGTGGAGGAGGAGGAGGAGGAGGAGGAGGAAGGGGAGGGGTTGGTCTTGCTGTCTCAGGGTGGCCGAGGCAGAAGAAAATCCACACATCAGTGGACTCGTGCTGTTCAAACCTGTATCGTTCAGGGTCAGCTGTACACGTGTGTGTGCGTGTGTGTGTACATGCCTGTGTGTATGTAGATACCCAGATACCGGCACGTGCAGACCTGTCTGTGCGCTCCATCGACCCCTTGGCCGACTCCAGGGCTGGTGGCGGCGTGCTGGCGCGCCATGTGCGCGGGCTGCGTTCCTGGCGGGGCTCCGGCGCCCAGCCCGGCCTTGGCGGGGTGTTGCTCCTAATGGAAACCAGTTGTCATCCCAGCTCCCGGGCCTGCCAGCCCATAAGACTTTCGCACTCCGGGGCGTGTGACGGGCCCCCGGGTGCGGCTTGGAGGGACCATGGGGCCGTGGCGACCCATTCCTCGGGATTGACGGCCCCGCGCAGGGCTGTGACGAGGAGGGACGCAGGCAGAACCGTGCCCCGCTTGGCCCAACTCACCGTTCTCGTTGCCACGCTGCTAAGCGGCGGTGCAGGGTGGCCTCGGCCTCGGCTTCCTCCTCCTCCTCCCTGGGGGCAGCACGGAGCCCTGTGCTCTCAGCTGCCCAGGCCGTGGCAGATCGAGCAAGGACGTGGCTCGGCCACGCGGACTTTGCCCTCAGGGTGCCGTCCCCACGCCCTGTGCACTGGGTCACACAGTCCCGCTCCTCCTCCTGCTCTGGACTGCCTCGGGGGGCCGGGCACAGCCTCAGGGCAGGGAGGGAAGGTGCGTTCATGCTGGGCCTTCTTCCGGCACCAGGCACAGCCAGGGAGCTGCTGGGGGCCCCCTCCAGAGGTTGAGCTGACCCCTCATGGCCCAGGACCCCCACCAGAAATCACACTGTCACTGTTGGACGTGACCCGAGACCCCCATCGGGCAGGACATTCCAGGAGCTTAGAGACGGCCTCCAGGGACTATGGGCAAGGCAGGCCTCCGTCTTGGGGTCAGATCCATTCCTCCATACACAGCACCTTATCCAGAGCCTCCCCCACTCCGCGCCACGCACCTGCAGAGAGGCCAGCGCCACCCCATGCACTGTTCGCTGACTGGAGGCCAGGACGGGTGTCAGGGTCTCCGCCCCAAGGCTAGCACCCCTCCCCTGGCCGTCCCAACCCGCCCTCTGGCCCCGGAGCAGCCGCCGCCCCGGGCTGGGCCGCGGTGCGGGTGCCAGGCGGAGCCCCCCAGCCCGCTGTGCGTCCTCCGCAGGTTGGAGAGGAAGCCTGGTTCCCCGTGAAGTCCACGTGCCCCTGCAACTTCACCCTGTACTACGAGGTGGCTGCCCGGGGCAACCTCGTGCTCTCGGGCCGGCAGCCTGCCCACGCCACCCAGCAGCGCGGCAAGCGGGCGACCCCCGCCCTGGAGACGCCAGTCCGTTTAACGCACCTTTCCGAGACAGGTGAGCTGGCAGCAGGGAGAAGGTTCCTGTTTCTCCTTCCGACGTGCTGAGGCTGGGACGGGTGCCCCAGCCAGGAAGGACGAGCGAGACCCAGCAGAGCGGGAAGGCCACCTCACGATGGGGGCACATGTCCCCAGTGAGACCAGACTGGGCCCAGGGTGCAGGCAGTGACCAGCTGCTGCAAGTGGAAAGGTTCTGTCTCGAGGCTGTTGTCACTGATGTCTGCAGGGGACAGGGACGGGCCCCCCTCAGGCTGGGCACCTGCACCAGCTGTTCTCACTGATGTCTGCAGGGGACGGGGACGGGCCCCCCTCAGGCTGGGCACCTGCACCAGCTGTTCTCACTGATGTCTGCAGGGGACGGGGACGGGCCCCCCTCAGGCTGGGCACCTGCACCAGCTGTTCTCACTGATGTCTGCAGGGGACAGGGACAGGGACGGGCCCCCCTCAGGCTGGGCACCTGCACCGGCTGTTCTCACTGATGTCTGCAGGGGACGGGGACGGGCCACCCTCAGGCTGGGCACCTGCACTGGCCCACGCTTTGCCATCTTGTCTCTGTGCCCGGGCTCTTCTCCTGCCTACGAGTCCTCCTCCTCCTCCTCCCTTTCCTTCTCTCCACATGCTCCCCACAAGACCCACCTCCTCCTCAGGGTCTTTCCTAGGCCCCCTGCTCTTCAAAACCCCTTCTGCCCAAAGCAGGGTCCCCAGCCCGGGCACTGTGGACATTTGAGACTGGGTCACTCTCTGAGGGAAGGGCGTCCTGCACCCTGCAGGGTGTCGAGCAGCATCCGTGGTCTCTACCCACTGGATGACAGTAGTACCAGTGCCCCCAGGGCAGAGTTTCTCAACCTGAGCACTGTTGACATTTGGGGCCAGATCATCCTCTGGAGGGGGTGTCTGTGCGCTATATGATGTTGAGCAGTGTCCCTGTCCTCCACCCACTAGGTGCCAGTAGCATTATAGGTAGATGATGGAAAGATGGATGGATGGATGGATGGATGGATGGATGGATGGATAATAAGATAGATGGATGGATGGATGGATGGAGAGATAATAAGATGGATGGATGGATGAATGGACGGACGGACAGACAGATGGGTGGGTGGGTGGATGAGTGGATGGGTGGATGGACAGATAGAAAGATAGATGGGTGGATGGATGGATAAACAGAAAGATGGATGGATGGGTAGATGGACAGAAAGATGGATGGGTGGATGGATGGACAGATAGAAATATGGATAAGTGGATGGATGGATGGATAGATAGAAGGATGGGTGGGTGGGTGGGTGAGTTTATGGATGGAGAGATAAGAAGATGGATGGATGGACACATAGATGAGTGGGTAGTTGGATGGATAGATGAGTGGACAGATAGATGGATGAGTGGATGGATGGATAGATGGATAGAAAGATGAGTGGATGGATGGATGGAGAGATAAGATGGATGGGTGGGTGGATGGATGGATGAATGGGTGGACAGATAGAAAGGTGGGTGGTGGATGGACAGATAGAAAGATGGATTAGTGGGTGGGTGGATGGGCGGGTGGACAGATAGAAAGATGGATAGATAGATAGACAGGCAGACAGACAGGGACTCTCTCGTGCTAAGGCAGAGTTTCTCACTCTCTACACCATCAACATTTGGGGTCAGATGATTCTCTGTGCTGGGGCTGCCTATGCTTTGCAGGGTGTTGAGCAGCATTTCTGGCCTCCACCCACCAGAGGCCAGGAGCACCCCTCCAGCGGCGACAATGGAACAATGCCGGCAGACACTGCTAGCGTACCCTGGGGGTGCAGAATTGCTCTGGCTGAGAACCGCTGGCCTGAATCGTGGTTTGGGCACGGTGCACCTGCATCCTTTGGGGCATATCTTCACTTCTGGGTGAAATAATAGCGACTTTGAGTCTTCCCAGAGCTCTTGTCCTGGGCCAGCTCTGGGCCCAGACCTCCTGCACTCTGCCCCGTTTAAGCCCCACAGCAGCCCGGGGGTGGGGGGTGGCGGCCCCACCGTGTCCACCTGCAAGTGAAGGGGCTGTGACTTGGGACTCCCCAGTGCCTGGTAAGGGGCAGGGCCAGGATTTGAACCCCAAGACCAATGGAGCACCCACCACCCCCTGGTGGCCAGGGGCCCCACCCTGCCCACTGGGCGCTCTGTGCTCTGCACGGATCCGGGAGCCTTTCTGCTCTCACTCTCGTGCATTGAGTGTTTGGGGCCCCTGAGCGGCTCGTGAGCTCTTATATGCGATGTGTGCTTTGGGGTCGCTCACCCTCCGGGAAGGGATCACCAGCCTTGGTTCCAGTCAGCAAACAATGGCTGCTCAGGTCTGCCCACAGGACAGGGCCAGTCGGAGGGAGGGACTGGGGTCGGGGGCATTCTTGGGGGCTGGGCTGACGCCGCCTGGGTGAGCCGAGATGGCTCTGCTGCCGGCGGAGGAGGCAGAGTGCTGGTGACGGGGCAGGCACGGTGCCTGCCGGCAGGGAGGAGAGCGGGCGACTGTAGCCGAAGTCCAGCCTGCTCTGCAGGAGCCTCAGGTGACCCTAGAGCTGGGCCACTGGGAAGCGTCAGCGTTGACCGGAGACACAGCCCGGGAGGGCCTGGCCAGAGCTAGGGACGCGGACTGTCCGGGTGCACAGACGGGAGCCTGGCGCGGGGCGAATCGGAGCAGCGGTCAGAGGGCCAAGGTCACACGCAGGGTGCGGGGAATTCACTGCCTGTCCCCGCCTCTGTCTCGCCTCAGAGCCCCCTCCAGCCCTCGCCGCCGAGGTCAACGTGTGCGTGACCTCTCTCCGGCTGCCCGTGACTCCCAGCATGGTCCCGCTCGGCCGCCTGCTGGTCTTCTACGTGCGGGAGAACGGAGAGGGGGTGGCAGACAGCCTGCAGTTCGCTGTCGACGCCTTCTTTGAAAACCAGGTAGAGCGTCCGGCACCAAACCGGGGACGTGGGCACAAGCCGCGGGGTCCTCCAGGGCGTCAGCGCGGTGGTGGCGGCCGCGGGCGGGGGCTGTCACATGTGGGACTCAGACTCCGTGTGGTGGCACGGCAGGCAGGACTCGCGAGGGCCGCTCCATCTCCGGGAACGCCTGGAGCACTCGCGTCTCTACCGGGGCGAGTGGAGACCGCGCTCCGAACACGCAGGGAGAGCCAGCGGCCAGCCGCTCTCTGCCCTTGCCGAGCTCTGCACCCGAGGGACAGCGCCCGTGTTCCCAACAGCAGGCTCCGCTCCCCGTCCCCGCTCTCTGCAGCCTTGGAGACAAAGTGCCGCATGCTCTCAGCTGGCACCTGCCTCCCCGGCGCCCCCCAGACCTCCCCGTCTCTCCCCCGTGTCCTCCGCCAGCCATGACGCGGGCCAGTTCCACCTGGGGGACGCAGCCGGGGTCCCAGCCGGGCCGGCGAAGACCGGCTGGGTGGGTGGGGCCGGGGAGCACCGTGGGCTGGACCACGCTGCCGATGACGCCCTGCTGCCTTGACGTCCAGGTGTCAGTGACGTATTTGGCCAACGAGACCCAGCCGGGGGAGGCCGTCGGCCTGCGGGTCCGGGCCGCGAGGGGCAGCTGCGTGTGCGTGGCCGCCGTCGACAGGAGCGTCTACCTGCTCAGGTCCGGCTTTCGGCTGACTCCTGCCCAGGTGAGCTCCGGGCCCTGGGCTCCGGCGCCTCCCTCCGCGGAGGCTCTTCCCTCCCCTCGCTCCCCGTGTCCCACCCCCCTTCCAGTGCGGGAAGGGCTGGATGTGAAATCGGATTTGGGATTTCCGCATTGGGTTCATTTCTTGGGGGCACCCGGCGGGTGTCTTGGAGAAATCCTTGTGGCCGCTTTCGTGCAGTTGCAAGATCGTGAGGCCAAAAGCATCAGACCCTCGCAGCGCGACATTGGGCCACATCCCTTCTCTCTGGCTCCAGGTTGCGCGCTGCAAAATGGGCTAATGCCACCAGTGCCCAGTAACGGTGTCACGACGCGAAGTGCCTGGAAGGGGTGGGATGGGAGCGTGCTGGGCGTGGCAGGAGAGCCAGTGCGGGTTGTGAAGAGAACCTCAGCCCCCCAGTCCCCTTCCGCCGGCAGGTGTTCCGGGAACTGGAAGATTACGACGTCTCTGATGCCTTCGGCGTGTCCAGGGAGGACGGGCCCTTCTGGTGGGCTGGGCTGATGGCCCGACGGCGCCGGCGCTCCTCCGTGTTCCCGTGGCCCTGGGGCGTCACCAAGGACTCCGGCTTTGCCTTCGCCGTAAGCAGAGACGCTCCTGGATCCCCCTGTCCCCTTCTGAGCTCCTCCTGCCCGGACACAAAGGGTCTCAGGGACCCAGAGATGGCTCGGAGCAGAAGTTTCCAAACTCTTCTAGCTGCAGAATTTTTTGTCTGTTTGTTTTAAAGACAGGGTCTCGCTCGGTCACCCAGGCTAGAGTGTAGTGACGTCATCGCAGCTCACTCCAGCCTCTAACTCCTGGGCTCAAGTGATCCTCCTGCCTCAGCCTCCCCAGTAGCTGGGACTATGCCGCTGTGCCACTGTGCCACTGTGCCTGGCCAATTTTTGTATTTTTTGTAGAAATGGGAACTTGCTTTTTGCAAGGCTGGTCTGGAACTCCTGGCCTCGAGCCTCAGACTCCCAGAGTCCTGGGGTTACAGGCATGAGCCACACGCCTGGCCAGGGTTCTTTTTTGTTTCTCCCCCGTGAACGGTCATGGGCATATCCTTTTGATTTGCAAAGCACATGAGAGCAGAATCTTATGCACGTGCATGGTCAGGTTCACACCGGCGACCTGAACTTGCTGTGGAGCAGTGACGTGCCGAGGGTGCTTTGCTGGAAGGAAACCTTCTCCCTGGAAGCTGTGGGTGCCGGGAGCATGCAATAGCACGCCGACCGCCTGCACTCAAATGCTCGTCCTGTTGGCGGATGCCTTTCAACCCAGTTTTAAAAACCACTTCAAAGGCATTCTCCCCTCCCCTGACCGCCACCGCTTTTATTCTGAACAATTTCCAAATATACAGAAAAGTTGAATGAATCAGCCAACAAACACCCACATACCCACCACCTACTTCTCACAATTCACAATGTGCTGTATCGGCCCCGCCCCCCAAATTTTATTTTTTTTTAAATGACATTTCCGTGACATGTATGTGGATTGTCGGATGGTTTGGGCCCCGCGCCCTGCCGGCTTTTGGAAATCAGAGGTGGCACTTTGGTGGCAAAGCGACTGGGTTTAAATTCCTTGTTCACACATTCGAGTCAGCCCAGTCTATAGTGGGTCGGTTCTCTTCAATCCAGTTTCTTCAAGTAATTAGGCAGTCATCCACATAATAATAAACATGATCATTATGGCCAGGCGTGGTGGCTCACACCTGTAATCCCAGCACTCTAGGAGGCCGAGGCAGGAGGATCACTTGAGCTCTGGAGTTCAAGACCAGCCTGAGCAAGAGCGAGACCCTGTTTCTACCAAAAATAGAAAGAATTAGCCAGGCGTGGTGGCACATGCCTGTAGTCCCAGCTACTCAGGAGGCTGAGGCAGGAGGATCGCTAGAGCCCAGGAGTTGGAGGTTGCTGTGAGCTACAATGACACTGCTGCACCCCAGCTGGGGTGACAGAGCAAGACTCTGTCTCAAAAAAAAAAGTGATTATTGCAACTACAATTGTTGGCCCTTGCTCCGGGTCAGGGACTGGGCCAACTGCTCGTATTTTCTAACTGAGGTGAAATTCACCATTTTAAAGTGCACAATTCGGTGGCATTTAGTGCATTCACTTAGTCGTGCAACCACCACCTCTGTCTGGTTCCAGAACATTTCCATCCCCCCAGAAGGAAACCCCGTCCCCATCAGCAGTCACTCCCCACTCCCCTCCCCCACCCCTGCAGCCACGAATCTGTCTCTGTGGCTTGGCCGGTTCTGGACACCTCATGGCAGTGGAGCCACACGCTACGTGGCCTTTTATACCTGGGCCAGCGGCTTTTGGTCCTCTCGGCCCTGGATGGTCACCGGGTCCCACGACCTCCTCAGTTTGTGCCACCAAGCCCAGAACTGATGCTGGGCGGGCGGACACAGGCGTACTCGTTCCCCTGTGCCCCTGGGGCCGTCGGCATCCCCTTCCCCTCCGTTGTCTGCTGCCTAGGAAACGGGGCTGGTGGTGATGACCGACCTCGTGAGCCTGAACCACCGGCAGGACGGCGGCCTGTACACGGACGAGGCTGTCCCCGCCTTCCAGCCCCACACCGGGAGCCTGGTGGCCGCCGTTGCTTCCAGGCAGCCCCCCAGGTAATGGCCTGTGCCTTTAGCAAGGTGTGTTCACCCTGGCGCTGTTGGCATTTGGGACTCGTGTTAGTCTTCCCTGGCTGCTGTAACGGAATGCTGCAGGCTGGGCGGCTCGTAGGCAGCAGGGGTTTGCTTCCCGCAGCTCTGGAGGCTGGGAAGTCCAAGGTCAAGGCACCGGCAGATTTGACGCCCGGGGAGGATCTGCTTCCTACTTCACAGAGGGCACCTTCTTGCTGCGTCTCCACGGGGTAGACGGAGTTGGGGCTCTCTGGGATCCCTTTTATAAGGGCACCAGTCCCGTTGCTGAGGGCTTCGCTTTCATCGCCTAATCACCTCCCCAAAGCTCCGCTTCCTAATACCATTTCCTTGATAGATTTCAACATACGAATCTTGAGGGGGGCGCAAACGTTGCATCCGTTGCACGGTGGGGTCGTTCTTGGCGCTGGGGGCTGTCCTGCGCATTGCAGGGTGTTGAGTGGTGTCCCTGGCCTCCACCCACTAGATGCCAGTAGCTCTCTCCCCAGTTGTCAGCCCAGAAGGTCTCCAGGCAGACATCGTCCAGGGAACTGCCCTGGGGGGGCATTGGCCTAGTGGACTGGGACACCAAGGACTTCATGCCCCCCAGTTCTTGGCCCTGCCCCAGTGTACAGGATTGGGGGTACAGAAGAGAGAAGATGCATCAGGAAAATTGACCTGTCTGTGGACAGAGGGATCCTGGCACAGTGAGAAGCTGTTGTCTTGAGTTAGACACCAAGTAATTACCTTTCAGTCTTCTTTATTTTATATATAAACACATAAGCCTTTAAAGGGTTACGAATTCTCCTCTGAGCACTGCTTTGGCTGCACCCACACTGTGTTATGAAAGTATTTCCGTTATTGCTTGGCTCCAAATAGGTTCTAACTAGTGGAATGATTCCCTTTTTGAGCTGTGACTTGTCCGGAAGTGTTTTAAATTTTCAAGTGATTTCTTGTCAATGATTATTTGTATATGCTTTGTAAATTTGTGTCAAATGTGTACAGCGGCCAGTGAAAACATGGTCTGCATACTAGTCATCCTTTGATTTTTATTTTAGAGGCTTTCTCTATGGCCAGTTTTTGTAAAGGCTTGGGTCTACTTAAAAAGAATGTCCAAGTCCCCGTTATTGGGCGCAAAGGTCTCTATGCAAGCCTGTTGGTGGTAGTATCCAAATGCCCTGCATACTTACCCATTGTTTGGTCTGCTTGCAATATCAATTCCAGAGGGAGAGGCGCTCAGCTCCCGCCTTAGATTTGGGCTTTGTCCCAAGCCCTCTCTGCACAGATCAGGAACGCTCTCATCCTCCTCCATCCCCTCCATGGTGGTTCCTGGGGATCTCTGTCTCCCAGGCTCTTCCTGCTGGGACCACACGTTTGGCAGGAGTGGTGCAGATGCACACGGATCCTGGTTTCCAAACTCCAGTCAGGGCGTTGGCAGACCAGGCCCCTCCTGGAGTTTGGACACACACGGAGGCATTTCCGTATGGCTTTGGAGGAGAGGGGGGCGGGATGCTTGCCCTGGGGCCCCCGACTGCTGGCAGCCGCCCTGGGGGCCCTCGCCCACTCGTGTGCGTGTCGCTAAGATCCTGGCCTGGCCCAGCTATGGAAGCAGCTTCCCGACACTCAAAGCCGGGCAGGCAGGTGTGAATCCCAATGCAGAGAGACATAAGAAATGCCTCCAAAAGCCAGTGTCCATGTTCTTTTTGTAATTGGAAAACACATCCTTAATCCAAGGACAAGGTGTTTTTTTTTTAACCATATGAATACAGTTATGTTTTTTTTCAAACAATACGAAAGGACATATAATGAAAGTCTCCCTTCCTACCCCCAGATGTTCCATTCCCTTCTTCAGAAGCAGCCATGGTGAATAATTTCTTAGAAAGCCTCCTGCTGTGCATAGAAAGAATTTATAAAGAACATTAATAGAAGAAAACTATGATACTGTTCTGTACTTTCCCTTTTTAAGTTAACAATGAGCCTTGGAGATCATTCTATATCAGTCCATGCATGCTTACCTCACTCTTTTTCACGGATGCATAATATTCCACCCACGCACACACTATTATCTGATTAGCCGGTCCCCATCCGGACGGAGACTTTGGCCGTTTGCTAACCCTCACGGCACTGATGTGAGACCTCTCTGTACCTGTGGGTATTTCCGGGCTGCAGTCCTAGGAGAAGTATTGCAGATGGAAAGGATGTGACCACTTTTAGTTCTGCCACATTTTGAGAAAGGCTTATTTTTTTCTTTTTTTTTTTTTTTTTTTTTGAGAAAAGGGCAGTGTCTGGGGAAGGTGTGCTCTGAGGCTCAAACAAGAGTGAATAAAAGTTGGCCAGGCGTGGTGGCTCACACCTGTAATCCCAGCTCTCTGGGAGGCTGAGGCGGGCGGATTGCTCGAGGTCAGGAGTTCGAAACCAGCCTGAGCAAGAGCGAGACCCCGTCTCTACTATAAATAGAAAGAAATTAATTGGCCAAATAATATATAGAGAAAAAATTAGCCGGGCATGGCGGCCCATGCCTGTAGTCCCAGCCACTTGGGAGGCTGAGGCAGAAGGATCACTTGAGCCCAGGAGTGTGAGGTTGCTGTGAGCTAGGCTGACGCCACGGCACTCACTCTAGCCTGGGCAACAGAGAGAGACTCTGTCTCAAAAAAACAAAAAAAAAAAGAGTGAATGAAAGGCACTCTTTAGGGCGAGTGGGAGGTGGCGAGTCCAATGTCACGGTGGGGGGAAGGGCGAGGCAAACGGGGGGGGGGGGGAATTAGCCAAGGGCAGGACGTGGGGTGGTCCCCGTGGCGGTTCCCACCTCCTGCATCCAGGAGAGAAGGCAGCACTGTTGTTTTCAGGCAAACTCTGCCAGGCCTTTGCTACTGTGCTTCTGTGTTCCTGGTCAAGTAGACTGTTAACCCTTCCAGGTAGAAGAATAACAAAGTTGTGTCCTAATCCAGTGCAGTGTTAACCCTGCCAGGGGAAAGTACGAACACATCGTAGCTAATCAAATGGAATGTTAATCTGCCAGGTAAAAAGCTTTGTTATGCCCGTGAAACTTTAATCTGTTTTATGTATGTATGTGTATTCACAGAGCAGAGAAGAAGAAAAGGACCTTCTTCCCTGAAACGTGGCTTTGGCGTTGTCTCAACATCAGGTACAGTAAGACTCCTCTCCTCTGCCAGGACGGGGGCCAACAAGGAGCTCCACAGGGACGGGGCCCATGGGAGCTCCCCACCTGGGAGGGGGCCAGAGAGCTCCCGCTGGACGGAGGCAGAGAGACTCCCACTGGGAGGGAGGGGCCCAGGAGAGCTCCACTGGGCACGGAGGGCCCAGAGAGCTCCCACTGGGACAGAGACACAGAGACATACACACTGGGACGGGGGCCAGGGAGCTCCCATGTGACGGGGGCCAGGGAGCATCACCATGGGACAGGGGACACACAGAGATACACACACATAGATAGAGACGGCCCAGAGAAGCTCCAACTGTGACGGGGGCCCAGAGAGCCTCCACTGATACGGGGGCCCAGAGAGCTCCACTGAGGAACGGGGAAACCCAGGGAGCTCCGCTGGGACAGGGGGCCCAAGGGAGCTACCCAGCTGTGACGTAGTGTGTGTGGTGAGCATGAGCTCTTGACTACACTAGCGCGCGCAGAGGGGTGTATCTCTCATTTGGTCAGCATAGACTCTCCACTGTGACGTGTGGAGGAGCTCACAGAGATGCTCGTGCCCTCGCTTTACTGGGACGGGGACGCGCTCCGCACAGAGAGCTCTCCACACATGAGAGAGAGAAGGGGCGCCGCCAGTCTTCTCTCAACAACATAGGCGCACTTGCAGCGCGCCCCGCGACGCTTATCTTCCCATTTTCATAGGTGCGGCGCGCGCGTCTCTGGGACAGGCAGCAGAGCCCCATACCGCGTCTCAGTAGGACGCCGACGCATCCTCTTTTCTGAACGCATAAAACAAACGGAAGGTCAGCCTGAGTCCGTCTGCGGTGAAACACGAAATGTGAGGGCTTTTGTGCTCCCCAGCTCTGCTGGGGTAACTCTTCTGCTCTGTGTTGCATACCAGCTTCTTAAAACCATTGCGCTGCTGGAACCTGACCGTGACCTCACGCCTCCACCCCTCCTCACTCCCTCAGGGGACTGAACTCACACGCTAGGAAAAACAAGGAATGCGTCAT